CAATTGGAAGGATGGACTATTGCTTCAGGGCATTCTTCGCCGTTCTCGGGATCTTCGGTCGGTCGATTGTACAAGTAATTTCATCTACCTTTCTGGAGCATTCGCGGAATGTACCCAGGCCATCGCAGCTGTACAGTTTTATTTAAAGCCGCGCGTAGTAGTAATTTATTGGGTTTATTAATTCAGTGCCGATTTTTCAATCCGTGTCTCATAGACCTCAGTATGTAGCTTTCTCTACATTGCATGCTTCTTCATCGAACAGTTTCAAAACCTTGCCCTTAGCATTAGCCCTAGTATATCCCATTTTTCATCAAAGACATGTTAACAGTAATTTTTCATCTGGTCAAATGGAAGTGAAACAAAATGCTCGATCTGCTCGTTAGCCTTTTCGCCAAAACATTGAACAGTTCACCGTAAAAGAAAATAATTTTATTAGTCACTGTATTCTGCATGTTCTAATTTTCTGCTTTTTACTGTGGCCATCGTCACTTAAGATTAGTAGTGCTTCAGTGATAGAGTATCCTGGAGTTTGTACGTGTGACCGTTTGAAATGGTGACTTAAAAGGCTAAAATATGGAATCGTTCATGCTGCACAAAGATGTCTTCAATGGAGATCGACCTCTGGTAGCTGTTTCCACATTTTCATAGTCTTTTTGTCATCAAATTTTAGGTGTTTTAGTTTATGGTAGTCGTGGCTGACTGCATCGAGTTGGAGATCAGGCCGTAAAATAAGCTTCAGAAAAGAAGGTCCAGGACCAGGTGACGCTTGTCGTTGAAGTGTAAGAGAAACTGGCGTACCATCTTTTATGAGTTTATTTTCTCCCCCCTCCCCCCATAATGCGTGGTTTAAATTAATCGATATTAACTTGTAACGTATCTACTGCTGATCGATGTTCATTAAAGTCTGCCGTCAGATCGAAACAACACAGAGATTTTTATTATAGTGTGCAAATGACTCAGTTTGTGCTCAAGATAAACTGTCCTTTTGAATAAACAGGTTTTGGCTTTGATACTAACTTCGGCAATTTTAAGGACGTACGTCTCTTCTCAGGTTTATCTCTGCGTTTCGACATGGTTGACACACGTTTTGCAGGACCTGGCAATATTATATTTACAGGCGTTTTAAACGTATCTCATTTATTTTGTCATTAAAGCGATATTACATATATTATTTTTTATGATTTTGAACAAGTGACAAAATTACTTTTTAGGGGTAAGCTGCATTCGATCGTGAATGATAAATGGGAAGCCGCAGCAGACGAATACAAACGCAAAATGGCCCGAATTGCTGCCGCTTCAACATGGGGTTTAGGTACTTACAATTCCTTAACCATAAGTTAAAGTAATGATCAATAAGCTGTGTGCTGGGTAACATCGCAGAACAATTTTATTGCGTAAAAGGATACGGACGTTTCAGATGTCAGATTGTTCGTCGAAGTATTGCATTTGCGGTAGAACCTCATTTTGTAACATCGGATGAGAAATTTTATTACCAACATACTGAAATGATCTTCATCCTCATGTTCCACAGCCGCTGCTCCTTTCAGGTCGCGGAGGTAGACGCGTCAGACAGTGCTTCCAATGCTCGCAGTCCAGTGCCAGAGTTTGAGATTCGGCAGTAGACAACTGGAGTCTGCAGCAGAGTCCTTCCATACATTTGCATATAGGTTAATCTTAACCGTTCCCTGGGCCTTTTACCGGTCGGCTGGGTCCGTAAAAAATAGTTACTTCGGCTTCATTTCTGGAGGCATTCGCAACACATGCCCAAACCATTGCAGCTGTGAGTTCTCAATCTGAAGAGACAACGGCTGTACACCAAGGATCTCGCGGATGTCTGTATTCCGGACCATATCGAGACGCGTAATGCCTGTTATTCCTCTCAGGAAGCCCATTTCAGTCGCTTGTACTCGGAATCGAAGGTTTACAGTCGTCGTCCACGACTCATGACCGTAGATGGGGATGAATATCGACTTGAAAACCGAGAGCTTAGTCTTGAGACTCATCTCTGCCTTAGTCACAATAGTTGGGGCTAGTTCGTGCAGAACACCATTGGCTACTCCAATCCGCCCGTCGATCTGAAATTTTCCATCACTAATAAACACGACCTCGAGTTTCTTGAACTTCTCCATCTGCCTCACTGCTTCTCCATTAATCTGAGGAGAGTAACGGGCAGGAGAACGAGACAGCACTAGGGTTTTCGTTTTAGATGCGTTCAGATGCATTCCGGCTACGTCGTACTCGGTTGCGAACCTTTCCAGGAAGTACTGTAGATGTTTCAGAGGATTCCAACGAAACAAGATCGTTTGCTAATGGCAACCTTCTCCTCCCTGGCTGCGCCTGACTGTTCCATTCATGTACCACACAAACAGGCGAGGGCAAAATGCAGCCTTGGCAGAGACCAGTGCCAACGCTTAAAGGTCTCGACTTAACACCATTTGCTCTGACGCAACAGTTACTATAAATGTATAGCGACTGGGTGACCCATAAGAACTGGCCGTCGATCTCATATGTTCGCAGGCATGCTCAAAGATTTTTGCGCGAGATTCGATCATAAGCTTTCTCTACGTCAACAAAACACGTGTACAGTGGATGGGCAACTCCCACGATTTATCAGCGCGGTCTGGTATAGGGCGAATATATGGTCAGAGTGCTTCGACCGGGCCGGATGTCACACTGCTCTTGTACCTTGGAGTCAGTTCACCCACGACACCGTTCTAGCACCTTTGTATAGAGTTTACTTGGGAAGCCAAATAAGATAATGCGCAGAGATTTGGGGCGTTCCCTGTGCTTTCCTTTCTTGAACAGGGGAACTACAATCTCCGTTCTCAAGCCCGTTGGTGGCTTTCCCGTAGCCATTGCAGTTTGACAGACACGTGTAAGGCAGCAGTTTGACAGATACTTGTAAGGCAGCGCAGGTCTTGTTGCCCGATGCTTTGAATATTTCAGGGCGAATTTCATCAGCTCCGCCATCCTTTCGACTTTTCAAGCTTTTCACAGCTTGTATAATTTCATCTACAGAAATAGTAATATCCCTTCTCTGCTCTTTTACAGTTGAGTCTTCCTGCAGTTGCTCATGGTTAAGAAGTTCCTCAAAGTACTCTTTCCATTGCTGAAGAACGTCCTTATCGTTGGTAAGATGGTGTCCAGTCTTGTCCTTCATGGCTCTTAGACTGTCCTTCTTTTCGCCATGGAACTGGCAGGTTGTCTGCCAAAATACCTTGTTTGCCGTGTGGAAATTCGATCCAACACCTCACCCATCTTGTTTCAGGAATCAACTTTGCCTTTCGCCACTGCTTTCACTGCCACCTTGTGCGCTTAAACATGTCGCTTTCGAGTTTAAGGCTCTTTCCTTCCTAGCTGTTTTTTGAATGACCCTTCTTTTTAACTGCCTCTTGTACCTCTCCACCAGGAAGTTTTCTGACCTTCAGGCATCAAACCAACCTATTTTAATCCGCAGAATCAACGGCAGCATCGATATGACGCTCATAAAGAGGTCCCATTTGTTTTAGAGATCAGTGGTCGTTACCTTGCGCTGATCAAACCGTCGTGCGACGTTGTTTACAAGTTTCGCTCTCGTATCCGCCGAAAATGATGTTTTCCATTTAATTGCCTGGTTGTTTCTGATACCAGATCGTCGTACGGTGCCCCATTTGTCACAGAATAGCGCGCCAGTTGCGGTCGGTTGAGAGCGCTGCGCGTCTCTTTAGGCGCGATTACAGAACGTCGTAAGTGAGGCGATACGATTACCAAATCGATCATCGACTTCTGTCTGGATGCTTCACTGTACCAGGCATATTGATGCACGCTTCGATGCTCATAGACGGTGTTCATAATGGGCAGCTCGTTTACTGAAATGGTCACTATTTAAAATAATTTTGAGACGAAAAATTTGAACTGGACA